TACAGGTACATTTGGAGGAAGGAAAACTAACTGGGATTGGAAGTCAGGTAACTCAGGCTTGGTTCCTGGCTCTGCCATGTAATCAGATGCACCTTGGCTGCAGACCAATATCCTCTGTTTTAGGGGAAGAAAGCAGCAACCACCCAGAACTGCACTGTGGCCTGAATTCTATTGAATTTTTTGGTGTTTAGTAGTCATGAAGCAAATTTTAGTTCAATCTTAGCCTTTGTAATACCAGGATTTGTACATCTACATTTCCAATGAAAGATTTTTTGAAAAAAATAGGTAAGTTTCCAACAACAGAAACTCATATGAATACAGATGCAAAGATAATGAATCTGATCAATGTTATTACTGTTACCTACCTTTGTTTAATCAGACTATAATTTTCTCTCATAGTTACCTTTTTTCATTGGTTCTCAATATTTACTCTCTTTCCTATGAGGTGTAAGTCTATACTTTTTTATTAAAAATGTAATTTGGGATATTTTTATTGCATGGGTTTTAAGTGTCTTACCTGTTTCTAAATTATTCTAGCTACTGGATTTCTCCTCAAGATAACAGGAGACTAGACTGCTGGCTATAGTGGATTCCATTTCTCCCTAATCCGGGTCAGGATTTATGGAGACCTCGTGTGGTGACATGAGGGTACCACAGTCAGCTTTTCTTGGGGCTGGGTGTAATAGGCAAAGGGAAAAACAGAACACATTTGGGAACAAAGTAATTCAGAAAGAAAACCTAGATGATAATGTGATGGAAGCATATAAGGCCTCCAAAAATCATCCTGCAGTAGTACTGAGGGGATACATAATAGCATCTTTTAAAAAACAGACCAGGTCACTCATATACGTTTCGGGTTACTAGCTGAAAGGTTGATGACATAGGCACAAAATTAGTGTGCTCTGCCTCTCAGGAATTAGTGACAGTCTTTCCTTCTTTCTTTTTTTCTTGGTGAAGTTTACTGGGCATATCTTCTTATATAAATCTGCATCAAATTAAAAATATGTTTCTGTGGGCATACTGCAATGAATGTTATTTTCAGCTCCCTTTTGGTTTCATACAAAATGGAAAGTGAGCAGAAGAGAGAATCAACCTCCAGCTTGTGCCTAAGAATCTCATTCATGTCAACAATATCGATAATGCTTATGAATACAATATTTGGAACACTGCATGTATTCTTGGCAATTAAAATGCAGAACAATGATTCTTTCTGGTGGTTAGAATTAAACACCAATGTGTGTTGCTGCCAATAAGGTATTAAAGTTGTGAATTAACTGAGTTAGTATATTAGTAAACATGCTGTGGCCACATAATTTACTGGTAGGTCTAAAGAAACTTCCTTAGGGGGAAGAATCCTTCCACAATGACAGGTTCTTGTTTTGCATAGCATTGTCCTTACAGGAAAATGTGACTCTGGCTTCTCCCTTCTTCTTCTTAAGGACGTTACATAAGAGACCTTTAATCTAAAATCTAACAGGACAAACTGAGTTAATAAATGTTCAAGGTTCTGAAGTCTTTAAAAGAACAGAAAAATAAAGCAATGGAATTCAAATGAGTTTTAATTCAGGTTTGGAAGGGGAAACCCAGCTTTAGAAATGTCTTTAGAAGGGCTTCAGGGCAGGTAGAGGTAACCACTATGAAAGGAAAACTTGATTAGGAGAATAAAGACTATTGCAGAGGGGCTGGGGATTTAGCTCAGTGGCATAAACGCCTGCCTTGCAAGCAGGCAGTCGTGGGTTCGATCCCTGGTACCGATTTAAAAAAAAAAAAAAAAAAGGAAAAAGACAAAAAAAAAAAAAGACTATTGCAGAGACATCAGGTTGAGCATATTCGCGAGTTAAATAAAATACTTCATTATCAAGGTACCTACTATATGCTAATACATTGTTAAAAGCCGAAAAGATAAAAATGAACTGGACAGGTCTTGCAGGTCTTGATGCTTTCAAAATAGCTACAGACAATTATACAAATAACTACTGTGATGGGAAGCTGGCATCAGGCTGGGGGTTTTCACCGGTGGAATGAGACCAGGAAGAAGAGGTAGTGAGTTTTAAATTCAAGGGAAGGAGTTGACCCATTTACATGTCATTTCAAACCTAAAGTGACACTGAGTTTCACTGGGGGACAGGAACAATGGTAGCTGGTGCCAGACACACATGACACTAAAGTCACGAGAAGTATGGAAATTTTCTTTCAAAACAGTGGGAAAAAATAAGCAGAATTGTCTTGGAAGAAAAAAAACCGGTGCATTGCTGGGATTCGTCCTTCCTCTTCCTCCTAAAAAGTAAAATCACAGGGGCTGGGGCTTTAGCGCCTGCCTTGCAAGTGTGCGGTCCTGAGTTCGATCTCTGGTACCGGAAAAAACAAACAAACAAAAATTTTTTAAAAAAGGAAGTAAAATCACGCAGACACATTCAAACCCTTAGACTTTTGGGAGCTGATTGTGTGTGGAAGACGTCAACAGAGCGTCTCGTGAAGTGCGTGACTACACAGAAAGGGTTAAAAGGAAAGGGCTGGCTAGGAGAGGAGAAGGCAAGCAAGGAGGTTGAAAAACACCGTTTTCCAACTTGGAAAGTCTGAACTTTGAAGTTCCTCAAAATACACACGCATGTGTCTGTGAGCTCAGGCAGATCTATTTCCGTAAGGTTGCTTTTTATTTTAAATCATAATCTCTCTCCGTCTCTCCGTCTCCCTTCCTGCGCTGCAAACGCTGAACAGCCCCCTTAGGATCGCGTGGTAAAAGCTACCGCAGAGGCGCAGGCAGTGCTGTTTATTTACGAGCTGCGCTCTCCATTCTCCCTCTGCGAACGCCCAGCCCCTCCCCAGCCGGGTCACCTCGGAGGCCAAGGCTTTTGGGGGGCGGAGGGCAGGGAAGCGCCCCTCTGCAGGCCAAGTTTGCAGGAGCTTGGGAGCTAGGGCGCCAGCCAGGGCGCGAGCCAGGGCGCACGGGAGCGCGCGCCGCCAGCACCAGCCTCACCTCTCCCGGGCGAGGTGCGGACTCCCCGCGCTCAGCCGGGGGCGTGGCCGGGCCGCGCGGGGCGGAGCTAAGGGGGTGGGGGCTCGGCTGGCTATATAAAGCCCGCGCCAGCCTAACTTTGGACTTGGGGTTATTTAGGAAGCACCTGGAAGGCGCAGAGTTGGCTGCGGTGACTGCTGCGGACGGCGCCTAAATAAATAAATAAATAAATAAAAATAAAGGAGGCGGCGGCGACAGTGGTGGCTGCAGCGCCAGCGCCAGCGCCAGAGAGGAATGGGAGCGCCGAGGCTCCAGGGCGCAGGCCGGAGCTGCCGAGCTTTCGCGGCGCGGCGGGAGTGCTGAGAAAGGGGAGCGTCCGAGACCCCGCAGCCGGCTCCAGAGGCGCGGACAGGGTTTTTGTTCCACCGCACTCAGCGTCTGGCAGCTGGGCGAGCAACTCCAGTTCCAACGACAGCCCACCTTCCAGCAGCCCAGGGAGACTTCGGCTGCTGCGTCTGTCCTATTGTTTAGACACTTGCCAAGGGCTCCGGAGCAGCAGACCCCGCTCTCTGTCGCCGCCTTCCCTCTCCCCGACCTCCTTCCAGGGAGCAGCAGGCCAGGAAAGCAGCTGGGAGAGGGGAAGGGGCGACGAAGAAGGGCTGCCCGGACTGCAGCCGCAGGGGGTCAGGTGCAGCTTCGGGAGCCGGGCGGCGTCTCCACCTCGGCAAGGGGACTCCTGCCGTGGCTTTGGGGAGACCGGGAAAAGTTCCTGTACTTTGAGAAGGACAACCCACTTGTGGGAGGCTGGCAAGGGGCGACGGGGAAGCTGCGCCTGCCAGGAGCTGGCTGTTGTGTCTTCCACCTTTGCCATCAAGTGTCTGCAGCGTATCCGGGAGACGAGAGAGGCTGACACGGGCGTGCACGCGCAACTGCCACTCAGCTTTGGACCCGGCTCCGGCCAGAGTAGCGGGTCCCAGCTGCCCGCCTGCCACCTCGCCATCCTCCAGACATCCTAGTGGGGCTCGGATATCACCTTAGTCTGTCCCCTCCTTCCTGCCTGTGTGGTTGGCGGCGAGTGCGCCCCCAATCCCTGCGCACTCGTGTCTTCGCGGGATCCATCGTCAACTTGGTCTCTTGGATTTCCTCTGCTGGAGTTCTGACTAGTGGATATTCCTTGCCGGATTGCCGCGGTCCTACTGCCCTTTTGTCTTTCCTCGTGACCTCAGGGCAGGCTTTGGTGCAGAGCATCTCCAAGGACGCCCGGCGGGAGGCGGGATTGGCTAGACTTCCCTCAAGACTTCCCTGAAGTGTATGTGTGTTTGCAAACCATCCTGGGCCAGGGCCGGTCCCGGCTACCGCGGTGCCGCTGGCGGAGTAGAGGCCGCGTGAGCGAGCCGAGCTCTGCGCCGCGCAGCGCCGCCCCGCGCCCCTCTGGGCTGCGCGAACACCCCGTGCGCCCCCGGCTCGCCATGCCCAGTGGCTCGGCGCGCACCGCTCAGGGCCCGCGGGGCTCCCGCGCCTTCTATCTATAAGGAGCTCACTTTGAACAGGACTACCATTACCATCGAACCTCCCCTCTTTCGCCTGGTACTCTCCCCTGGAATCGGATTCGCAGAAGAGTGCGTGGGATCAGAGTAACCTCCACCCTCGGCAACTGCATCTTCGCGGTGGTTGGGCGCCCGGGTTCTTTTAACCACAAGCCAAGTTGATCCTTGTGAGACGGAAGACGCGTGATCTCGTCTGTGCTCCGATCTTAATCTCCTTGCAGCCTTGGCCCAGGCGTTTGATTTTCAGGTTCTGAAGTTGCCCACGGAGCCTCTACTCGGCTAGAAAAGGAGAGAGAGGGAGGGGGAAAGGCGTGTGCTTCTATCGGCTCTACTCCTTTGAATATCACCACTGTTCCTTATTATCTTGTGCCGGTTTTCCCCGCGGCAATCTGGGCTGCTGACCCTGCGCCAAGAACTGGGCCTCAGACCCTGCGCTGTTGGAGCTGTGAGCTACCGAGAAACCCCAACGCCCGCGAGCGAGGAGGCGGCGGGGGAAGATGCGCGGCGTGAGCCGGCCGACGCTGTCCCTGTGGCTGGGGTTAGTGTTGGCGGTCCTGAACAAGGTGGCGACGCAGGCGTGCCCGGCGCAGTGCTCCTGCTCGGGCAGCACCGTGGACTGTCACGGGCTGGCACTGCGCAGCGTGCCCAGGAATATCCCCCGCAACACCGAGAGACTGTGAGTATGCGCTTTCTCCTGCCTCGCTCCTCCCCGTCAGGGTAGCCCACTTTTTGCTTTAACTTAAGGGAGTAAGCAGCAAGGAGACCCGCGCCGGGGCCGCCTAGGCTGGCTCTCCTGCGCGCACATCCCGGGGGCTGGGTCGTGCAGGGGAGGGCGAAGCACTGGCGGGCAATGCCTTGGGAGGGGCCTCTGCCCCAGGAGGGGCGGGTCCGCCGCCGGCGGCCCTGGGTCCTGTTTCCCAGTCTTGTCCCGCCACTGTAAACCCTTGGGGACGGAGTTCTGGGTAGCTGGGAGTTTGGGGACGCATATTCAAGGATACCCAGGGCAAGACAGACGCGACTTTGTTTCCCAGACTCCCTAAACGGAGTCACCTTGCGGTGGCGAAGGCGTGTAGGTCGGTTTCAGGGCCGAATCCCCGCCCTTTGCGCGGCGCGCTGGCGCGAAGGGGATTGCAGGGGTGCTCAAGCGAGAGAAACTTCCGCTCCCCGGCTTTGTGTCCCCCTCCTGGGGACCAAAGGGAGGGCAGATGGCGTCTTGGGGTGCCCAGGGTACCTTTCCCTAGACTGCGGTGGAAGGGTGTCAAGGGACAAGCGCTGCTATAGTCGTGGCGTGCACAGCCCCCCGCGACTGTCCGGGTCCCCCTCTCCTGCGGGGAGGCGGCCGCGATCTAGGGCCCCAGAGGCGCCTCCGAGCCGGCAACTGCGGTGGGGCACCGTGTTCCAGCCTTTAGGCAAAGTTAGTGCCGCTGCTCCAAAGAGAACTTGCTGCCTCGTTCTGTCTGGCGCCCCACGGCCCCCTGGCCGAGTCCCGAGCCCCGTCCACCCTCCTGGCAGATTCCGCGCCCCCTCCGGTGGCAGCTGCGCCACTCCTTCCCCTCGCCGCGCTCCGCTGCCCGCAGACGTCCCCGCCTCCCGCCTCTGCCAGCGGCTAATGAAGAAGTAAACGCTGCCCCAGTGTTGACGGCCCACGGGCTCCTGCTGGGGCGGGACCCGAGTTGCGGGAAGTGGAGCGTGGAGGCCGCCGTCTTTGTGAGCCTGAGTTGCCGCCCCGCGCCCTCCCGAGCGTCGCACACCCTGTGCTCGCCCGGGCGCGCTCGGGCTCGGCGGGCGCTGCGGGCTGCGGGCTGCGGGCGGGGGCGGCGACTGGTCCCGCTCTCCAGGCCTCTTCCAGGCAGTGAGGGCCCCGCACTGCGGAGAGCACGCGCTGGGACTTTTTATGCGCCACTTCCAGTTGCCCTTCTCCCACTCTTGGCCCTCACGCTCAGTTTAAAGGCCTGATTTTGTCTTCTTCTTTTGGGAAGGGCCACCCACTCCCAGTCTCTCCGGTGGACCCCTGTCCCTTCCCCTTCTCCCTCCTGAGTCCTTAGTGCTGGACAAATTAAGGCCTTGAGAGGCTGGGTGTCTCATCAAGAAGTGAAGCAGCTCATCGGTACAGGGTTGGGGTAGAGGTTCTTGGGTTCTTGTTAGATCAAATAGTCCAAAGAAGCTCCAAAGATGATAGGAAAAAACTTGAGGATTCTTTCTTTACTCAGGATGGAAAAGTAGATTGGAGGGAAGGATGAGAAGCAATGCAGAATTTTGTTTTAGCGATTGTCATTTCATGCTGTTCAGAGCAGCTGAAAGTATAAGCATCAGCACGCCTTCCGCAACCCAAAAGAAAAAAAAAAAATCACTGGGAGAAAAACGAAAATTGAGTTTAAAGTCTTTAGGAAGAAAGTATCAGAGATGTATAAGGAGTTTGCAGAAAACTGTCTACTCTGTGCTGGGTTATAAAATTCTGTCAGCAAGTAAGCGCTGTAAGCACAGATTGCAAACATGAGGCTTCAGACACCATCATGAGCCTACTTGCATGAAGGAAGGCTTAGAGACCTCTGCAGAGCCTGGCCTTACTTGAAATGATGGGAGGCAATCCTGACCTGAGATGCCACAGAGGAGGGTTGTGGCTCACTCAGTAAAGGAAAAGTGGTGTTGAAACCTGAACACAAATGTCAAGGCCTGAGTAGCATTTCTACTACTGACTCACTAGAGTTTCCACTTCACCATTGCTACGGGGGACCAGAGCAGCCCATGAAGAGTTTATTTCACACAAACATAGAATTGTTGGAAGGTCAATGCCCATAAATGCGAAGCTGTGAAATCCAAATCTTTGATTGAATTCTAACCTGTTAGAAGTTTAGCCATCGCATTACCTTCCTACCTACCTACCTAATGCTGTGAACTTTAAAAATTTCTTCTTCAGGAGTGTGAGAACATTGTTTATTTCACTTCCTGACTGGAACTCCTTGGGGGATCTGCCTAACAATAATAGCAGAATACCTATGAAATTAATACACACATCCTTATGAAAACAGAAACCAGAATCACTCCCATACACACCCCCCCTCTCCCCACGACTTCCCAACAGAATCTCATGGTTTTCTCCCAGCAAGAATGAATTTTGTGAACTTCAGTCATTAGTAAAATATGCTTTCAAAGACTGCCCGCTGCAATCCCAAATACTTTGCTAAACTTCCAATAGAATTCATTTTTAGTCTTTAAATTCTGCTTTTTTACTTTGTTTAACCAAGTGTAATAGACATGAAAAGGAACTTTCGTTTTCTGGTTATCTCTTAGTGATCTGAATGGAAATAACATCACACGGATTACGAAGACGGATTTTGCTGGTCTTAGACACCTCCGAGTTCTGTAAGTGTGCTCTTCTTCTGTAATTTGGAAACCTTTGCTTTTAAGATTACACATTCAGAACTGTTACTGGTCCCAGTTTTAAAATCCTGTCCAGTGTGGTATGAACAAAAAATTGTGAACATCTTATTTTCTCTTTTCTTTTTCCATCACTGTATTACAACGTTAGTAAAAATCAAGGCCTTTATTTTAAGATTGGATGCCTGCCATAGAAACAGTATTATACAAATGACCTCAAATCTTTGGTTTACCATACTCTAAGTGGCTTCTGTGTAGAAAAATGCAAACTAGTTGCTTTTATAATATGAATAAATAACGTGAGTCATCAGATGCTTTTCAGATTTAGATAAACTTAACAAAATTTAAGTGGATCTGTGTTTTATTATTACTGAGATAAAAATGTTTAGATTTTCTTTTTGCAAAGACCAGAGATAATTTGTATTACTAAAATCAAGCAATGGAACTTATCAGCAGGTTTTGGTGGGACAATGTTTATTTATAAAAGCTTCATTTGCCATGTTTTGAGTTGTTTCTTATATTTTTTCTTACATAAAATTGTTGTAATGTGATTACTTTAAAGACTGTTAATTTAGCTGTGAGTATACCATCACTGGATTGTCAGTGTTATGTTAAATTGTTTCCTCCCACAAGATTGTAAATATTTACATCCAGTGGTTATATACTTTTGACCAATGTGCATTCAGTATTCAGTTTTTAAAGACACACTTTGGCTCTTATGAAATCTTCAAATTGCTGATGTGCATTCAGAAGTTAGAGCTGAAATCTGTGTGATGAATTACTGCATATTGGTTCCATAGTTAGGAACTCAGTTGTAAATTCATGTACTAGAGAACAGCTATGAAAGCTGAAAATGTCATTGATTGCTTCTCTCTCGTATTTTAAGGTTCATAGTTTTGACTAGCAGGTTTTGTAAGAAACTGCCTTTGTGCTTTCTAGGAAAACTTTACAATTTGGATATCATTTGTCCTCCCTGAGTTTATTCACGTGTCATCATCATTAAATTTTGCCATTAGATCTCAAACTGGATCTCAAAATCTATCTTTAGGAAAGGAAAAAGGCTACATAATCTAAGCTACTGAATTGAAGTAGCTCAGAAGGTGACATTAAAGAAGCCTGTTACCTTATATATTTCAGTCAGCTTATGGAGAACAAGATTACTGCCATTGAAAGAGGTGCGTTCCAGGACCTTAAAGAGCTGGAGAGACTGTAAGTATTTTCAATTCCACTCTCGTGACTACATAACTGTAGCTTTACAAACACTTGGAATTTCAAGGATTCAATTTCATGTCTTAGCTTTTAAAACTTTGCAGAAAAGGGAAGATGAATGAGTGGTTTTTGGACTAATTTACAAAAAATAGACTTTGTGGATAAAGCATACTGGCATGTAATAAGTCACAGAGTCACAGATTTAATTTGCTTAGATATTTATTTCCTAGCTAACCATGACTTTGATAGTGGAAGATGTACAGGTTTTTCCTATTTTGTCATTAGATGTGTTTTGTTTGTGAAGGGAAGAAATGGTAATTTTATTTGCATTAGTGGTGCAAGAGAGGGTTGTTCACAGCCATTTTAACTTTCATGATGTTGTTTTGTGTGTCTTTCATGACATTTAAAGAAATATTTTAAATTTTGCTGGTGATTCTTTTTTGATATGTAACATGGCAAATGTGGCTAGTACCTGTTACTCATAGTTTATTTATTTAATAGTAGCTTTAAAAATTTCTGCTGGAAATATAGATAATATTAAAAGTAAGAACTGTGTAAGTGAGGTATGGTCACTTAACATTAACTCTTTTTCTCCCCAAAAACATTAATAAAGACTTAAGACTGTAAAAATATTTTAGTATAGAGTTCAGAGTTCACAAAATTGTTTTAGAGCAAAAAAAAATCTGTATTAATGTGCATTACTTGAGGGCAAATAATTTATACTCATAATATGTATATCCATAAAGGATACAAATGTGATAAATTGCAGACTTGGTCATCTTAAATATGGCTCCCACATCTCTCATGTTGATTATTCGTATTTGGTAGGCTTGTATTTTAAGGACCAATAAAACTATTAAATGTAGCTCAAGGATTTTAATAAGTTTCCATGACTGCTTTAAGTCTTCACATCAGATAAAAATAAATTTTTTATTTAGAATAATGAAATGTGATCATTTTAGTCATAACATATGTTCACTTGGCCTCAGGGCAAGAGGTAATTATTATGTAGTTGTCCCTAAGCAGAAAAATGTTTTGTCATCTTCTGAGATATTCATGACTCCATGGCCCATGGTTTTTATCACCTCAAATAAAACACAGAAATGTGTACTTTTTTTACCATAAAACTTTGCAATGGTAAATATTACATCATAGGGAATTTAATTGTGGAATTCAAAGTAAATTTAAAATTGCTACTTTGAGCTAATTTTGGAGGCGGATAAAAAACAAGCATTCGGTTGAGTTCAAAATCAAGTTCATAAGTTCATAACCTATTTTTAAGTATATATTTTGAAACTCTATCCTTTGAGCTTCATTAGCATTCATGAAGTTAATATCTAGTAAATAACTTACAATGATATTTTTAAGCTACCCCCTTTAAAAAATATTGATATGTTTTAAATGACTAGGTGATATAATTAATAATGTTATCATTAACAATTTTGTAAAACTAATTTCCAGTCATTACATGGAAAAATCTACAGCTTGATACATAAACAAATTTTAAGTCATAAAAAGAGTCACAGTGGCTTTTCATGCAGCCTCTATTTTGCCTATGTTTAATTTTAAATGTTTTCAGGAGCAGTAGAACAAAACACACACTCTAATTATTTTGCAAGTAACTGCAGAGCACCATCTAAACTTTTATCTTGAATAAGTTAACATTTCCTAAAAATTATTAACCAGATGCTGTATGATCTGAAATTTGATTAGAGTTGTAAGTAGGTAGTAGTTTTTGCCTTTCACTTCCCTGGGGAATGTCACTTCATCTCAGAACAATTTTCTATTCTACTAAGACTGAGTCAGATGTTTCATAGTGGGAGGAGGATTTGTAATTTTGAATGAAAGCTAATATATATGCAGGACTTCTTTAAATCACCCCAGCTGTTGGCTGAGAGCAAATATTTCATATTTGTGAGGAAAAGCTGAGAAAATTCCTTTTGTTTACAACTGCCAAGTCCATCTGATGGAAGCACATTGTTATCTGACAGCCAATTCATCTCCCTGGGACTCTGGAATTCAAAACCATTTCTTAGGAACATTGTGGATTCACTTTTCAAATATTTATTGTTTAAATATATTACATAGCAAAGCAGTTTTAGTCAGAAATGTATTCAAGTTACTGTGAAACAAACTATTTTAAATTTTCAGTACACTGTCTTTAAAAAATTGAAAACAATGACAAAAAAGATGTTGAGAGTTGCATATTCAAATTTTTATAGCTTTTGGTACATACCCGTACTTTAGTCATTGCCATCAGCATCAAAAACATAACTTTTTCCAGAAACACCAAAGAACAATGTGAGAGGCAGGAAGTAATCAATGACTTAACTTTTAATTAAAAACTGAACATTTAATTCAGATGTGCAATTTTAGATTGCATTCTAAATTATGAAAAGACGTGTAAGTGGTTTATTTTATAAGTGCCACCCATACAGAAAAGTGACTTACTTTTCATTACCTATACCAAGAACAAAGAAATAAAACATTAATTGTATTTATGAGTTATTTATAGCTCTAAGGTATTCTCCTTTTAGAGTAAGACAATGCTAAATTGCATTTTATAAATTTGCAAAGTTATATTTTTTCTTATTTCGGGGGGATGGAGCTCTTAACTTTTCTAGAGAAAGAGGACAAATCTGAAAACAAAAGATAAGCTCTTGGCCTTTCAATTTGTGAGAAAGAACATTATGTTACTAATTTTAATTTAGTGTTACCTTGGGAAGAGAAAGCCGTTATTTGTAAATGAAAGCAGTATAGCTACAAATGAAAGATACTTTTTCCAACTAAACAATGGATATAGTTCAGAATTTTCAATCAAAATGTCAAGAAGTTGGATGGGTGGGTTAAGGGTGAAATACTTTCTTCCTTCTTTGCCTCCTTCTTTCCTCCCTGTCTCCTTTGCTCCTGTGCTTCTCATTCCTCTTTCCTCTCCCTCCTGCCTTTCACTCCTTTCCTTTTATTGTACAGAAATCAGCATCAGGTGGTGGGTTCAAGTCGTCATCAGAATGTGGCTGTGAAGCCCTGTTGCAGGACTCAGGTTTTCACACTACAGGCCACCATGGGGCCACCATGGTTTCTCGTGGGTTCCTGCTTTGACAGATAGCTGCTGGATTCCCAGACCCAGCTTGTGCAGTGGCAGGTTTTCTAGAATTCTCTGTTCTGAAAGTGCAATACCTGTTTAGCTGAGAAAGCAAGAAGCATTGAGAACATGCCTCTTTATTAGCAGATCTCCTATTTAATCAGAGGTTCAAAGGAATTCTAATGCAGTTAAATGACTAGTGGAAATCAAGTAAAAACAAACTACAAGAAAACTAACGCAAAGAATTAGAACACGTAAGAAGTATACTTCATAGAAGATACCTACGTATAAGTAAATTATCCATAAAGAATTATTATTGTCAGTATTATTTCTATCTTTTTTATTATTTGAGACAGGGTCTTGCTATGTATTCTAGTTTGGACTTGAACTCACTGTGCAGTCCAGGCATGACCTTGAACTTAGGGCAGTCCTCTAGCCTCAGCCTCCAGAGTGCTGAGAGCATCGGCATGCACCACCATGCCCGCCTCCAAACAAAATTACTAATTCAAGATATCTCACAGCTGGAACTGTCTAGATAGTTAGAAAAGTTAACAGTGGGACCCAGAAATCGTGCATGCTGGTGTAAAATTTTGTTTGATGATTACAGTTTCTGTACAGGTAGAAGTTATACTTAGAGAACCAGAGAGTCAACCATTTCTATTTTATGGTCGTTTTCTGAGAACCTGGACTACTTAAGGTTCTAGTAGTGGAAATATCTTTTCCTTTTGAAAATTCCTTCAGAACACAAATATAAGTCTATGAGAAAGTTTTTCACATTTTCCAGGGCTGTCATTATTCTGATATTTATTCTAATACTACAGACATGAAAAGTGTACATGCCTAACTTAATCTTGGTGAGAGCCACCAGCATACCATGGAAAAGCTTGGATATTAGGCTATCCAGGAACGTTACCATCAGGAGTTTGCAGAAGTGATACAGGCAAGCATGTAGACTGTTCCTCTTTCGCCACCAAGGATATTTAAATATTAAGACAAATATATTGCTTTTAAGGGCTTCAAAGTTTAACATCTTTATATTTGAAATGATGTTTTTCCCACTAGTTTTGTCATTGGGTATTTAGACCTACACATAATGTAATGGAAAAAATGAAAGAAATCCTGGAAACTATGTCTATTAATTCAAATGGTTCAGATTTCATTAAGTTGATACAAAGAATAGACATTCATTTCACTTTAGATAATCTAAATCCTTTTGCAGTAAGACCTGCATTTGAGTAAGCATTTTCTTCTTAGGAGGGAATGTCTGAAGGGCACCCTTACATTGTTTTCCTAAGGGAGTGCTGACTTGGTCCTCTCTGTGTGATCACAGCATTCATAAGTGACGGTGTCAGTCTGGGACTGGGAATCCAGGGTGTTGGTTGTGGGTTGCTGCACATGAGTTCAAATGGAGACTGCTGTGGAACAGGTCTGAAGTGAAGCCATCTATCTGTCCTCTGTTCACAAAGATGGTAGAGAACCCCTCTTCGACTAATCCTATAAGTTTATGGACGACACATACCTCATATCTTTTCTTATTGTAAGGGCAAATAATAGCGCTAATCCTCTTTGAAAAGAATCCAGGCTCATCTGAAAAGAATTGCTTTCTGGTATCTTTACACCTAAGTTTAAAATCAGTGCAGTCAATTTCTTGGAAATTCTCTGTAACAAAGACTCAGTATGCTGCATCAAAGTAAAAAGGCTCCCAAGGAGGTGATATCTATGAGTTGTCGCTCATTCTCATGTGTTCCTAAGCAGCACGGAGTATTTTAAATTAAGCTGACAGACTGTGGTCATAGAAAGCGTTAGTGTTACAAGTTCGGCAGAACACGGAGTTAATCTGAGCGAGTTGCTTCTGTTTTAATGGGCCCTGCAGTCAGATGGTGGTGAGAGGGCCCGTTTGCCTCTTTGTGGACCATTT